GGGAACAGGAGCCCCAGAGGTCGGGGGCTGAAGGAGTCCTGGGCTGCTCACTCCCACCTGCTCCCATCCGTTCTCTTGTGGCTTAATGACGACTCTGAGTACAATACAAACACGCGAATGACCCCACGCTCCCAGAGCAGAATCGGCAGAGAACTGAAACAGTGCTTTGGGTTGAAGGTCCAGGGGAATGGATACCCTAACGGGAAAAGAATCTCACAGTGTCCCCTGAAATCAGACACTCACATACGACTCCGCCAATCCACCTTTCTTCAAGAACTTTTATGACAACAGCGGCAGCAAACTGAGCGAACTTTGGAACACGTCGGCTGCAGTGCAACCTGCCTGCACTCCTCTGTGCGAGCAGCAGGGAGTTCTCCGGGACCTCCAGGAGAGCTGTGAGGCCCTTTCAAATCGACAGCCAGAGGCGTGCGGTTAGACAGGAGAAGACCGCTGAGGACACCAAGGGCTAGGGAGGTGCGGGAGACGGGCACATGGGGGCGGGCTGGGGGCTCCCCCGCAGGCCCGCAGGCTCTATCCCAGGAAGAAGGCACGCATCCCCGCATCCAGCATTTTTTAAAAATAAAACCCTCCGAAGGAGTCTGAGGCTCATATGCTCTGCATTTTAAGAGTGTCTAATTTATGAGTCCCCTTATGTTAGGATGCATATTTTTTAAGATGAATGTATCTGCACGCTCGCCTACTGAAGAAGGGAGGAACGCGTTCCCTCCTTCCTGCCTGGAATCCCCTGCCTGCCCCACGCTGCCTCCAGCCGGGCTGACCGCTCTCTGCTGAGATCCTTGGGGACTGAAACTCCAGGCTGATCTTATTCAAATAAATCCTAACTGCACGACCTCACTGCACGCCTTGTTGTCTGTTTTCCCACCAGTGTACGTCTTCATTCGTTTGGGTTTTGCTGGAATACATGCTTAAACACGGATCATACAGAGTCTACAGGGGACTGTATGTCCAGAGTTTATCATGTGATTTAATTTATACCTAAAAGATAACGTGGCCAGTTCTAAGGTAACGTGGCCAGTTCTAAGATAATGTGGCCAGTTCTAAGTTAACGTGGCCAGTTCTAAGGTAATGTGGCCAGTTCTAAGATAACGTGGCCAGTTCTAAGGTAACGTGGCCAGTTCTAAGATAACGTGGCCAGTTCTAAGGCAACGTGGCCAGTTCTAAGGTAACGTGGCCAGTTCTAAGGCAACGTGGCCAGTTCTAAGGCAACGTGGCCAGTTCTAAGGTAACGTGGCCAGTTCTAAGTAAACGTGGCCAGTTCTAAGGTAACGTGGCCAGTTCTAAGAACGTGGGCTCCAACAACTTCCTCCCACATCTGACATGTTCCCCCGGTGGCTGCTGTTGGTTCAGTCTTAGAGATTCTGGTGACCACTTCTGCTTTCTTTATTGTTGCTCTTCATTACAGACACTCCCAGTTTTCTCTTCATCTTTGGTGTTCTCAAAATTCGCCTTTCTGTGTCTCCACTGATCCACTCAACAAATATTTACTGAACACCTACTACGTGTCAAATACCATTTTGTGTGATAAGGATACGTCGCGAGCACAAGAGACAAAGACACGTGTCTTTCACTGTTTTATCCACTGGCCACTTACACCTTGTACTGTAGTTCACTCTGGAAATACTTTATAAATAATTTCTGGGACAGTCTCAGCTACTCTGTCTTTTCTGTTCTGGGCGCTTTGCATCGCCAGGAGACAGACCCTCGTATTCTGCACGTCCCTGACGGCTCGTCCACGTAACATTGATTTCCTGTCACCTGCCATCTCCCAGCCTCGTTGTCTACCCCGGAGGAAACCCTGACTTGCGCCCTGCCAGCAGCTCCTGTTCTAACTCTCGCTATCTTTAAATGTTTCCCATCATATTTTAATTGCAAAGACATTTACTTTCTCCCCCGACCGGCTTTCTTTTTCGTAAGTACTCTATCCTCTCTTCAATGTCAAAGCCTTTTCTGTTGTGTTGAACAAACAGAAACTGTGACACCTTTTTGCTTTCTCAGATGACTTAGGAGTGGCGTCTTCTCACCGCGGCGTTTGCGAATCTCTCTGAGGACAGCTTCTCTTAGGCCATTGCTGCTGTGTCCCAGAACCACGGCATGACCCTGGGCAGCCTCTTCCTTTCTTGATCACCGCCCGGGTGCAGGGGAGAGGGGGGAGCGCAGGGCAGGTGCATGGCAGGTGAGTCTGCAGCTGGCCCCTGCTCCTTGGTGCCCTGCTGCTCCAGGGCCCCCCTCTCCCACCTCACAGCCCCCACTCGGTCCCGAGAGCAAACCGTGACCGCCCACTGCTAGGTCCCTGTGGAGAGGGAAGGGGGAACCCACTGACTCCCAGTCACTTCACAGCCACCATCAGGGCCCCAGCCTCACTCCCGCCTTGGTTCACTCCAGGTGGGCAGGGGCCTCCTCCCGCTGTCTTCCAGGCTCTGCCTCTTCCAGGGGTTTGCTCTGCACGGACCAAACCCACGCGCTCTTCCCCTCCTAGTGCTGTCCTCCCGTCATGAGTCAGGATTTTGTTTCATCACTAACACTTGGGATTTTAAAATGCCTCTTAAGCTACTTAGGGAATTGTGGAAGGTGGTGCACGTGTTTGAGTGACCATTTGAGTGCAAGCACCCTCTATTCACACCCTATCAACTGATTCAGCAAGAAAAACAGTTTCTGAAGAAATGGCTAGTTTTACCTAGAGCACAGGAAGCCATAAGCACCAGACCCATGCCTCAGGAAATAACCACCCGGCAGGCAGGAAAAACCGGAGCGTGGGGCTGCTCACTCTTCCTGTGCTCACGGTCAACCTCTGTCTTTCCTATTCCACTTGGCAGGACCGAGGGTACCGGGGAGACGGCACCGGAGCAGACAGGCAGTGCAGGAGGAGGCCCAGAGCACACAGGCAGTGCAGGAGGAGGCCCAGGGCACACAGGCAGTGCAGGACGAGGCCCGGCGCGGCACTCCCAGGCCACTTCCTGCTCTCAGCGTCACTCACTCTGCCTCCCCCGAGGTGGGCCCCCAGCACACCGAGTGCAGTCTGCCCTGTCTCACACAAGCCCAGGACCAACACCACTGCGCCCCAGCAGACCCCAGCTGCAGCTGCACAGGCGACCCCTCCTGTGCCCCCGCATCCCCTCACAGGGCGGGGTCCCGGCTCTCTGAGTGCCTCAGTCAGGCGTCTACATTTTCACAGTCTTAACCACCTCGTTCCTCCATTCAGAACCAGTGTCTCCTGTGGGTGGCAGAGGCCTGGTGACCTGAGCCATCACTGCTGGTAAGTAGCTGTGCCCTTCGGGGGTGATGAGAAAACTGGCTCAGAGCCTGGGACCCTGCTGGCGACCAGCGGCCGGGTGCGGGGCAAGCGCGTGGGAGCACGGCCCTTCCTCCTGGGTGGCACTGCAGGCCACCTCTGAGGCTACTCGGAACCAACAGGGGGTCAGGAGCGCCCAAGTACAGAAAGCACGCCCAGGCCCCGGGAGGGAAGGTGTGCGTCCGTCCAGTGTACGCACGCAGCGAGGGGACGCGTTCCGGGCCCCGGGAGGGAAGGTGTGCGTCCGTCCAGTGTACGCACGCAGCGAGGCGACGCGTCCCGGGCCCCGGGAGGGGAGGTGCGCGTCCGTCCAGCGCACGCACGCAGCGAGGGGACGCGTTCCGGGCCCCGGGAGGGAAGGTGTGCGTCCGTCCAGCGTACGCACGCAGCGAGGTGACGCGTCCCAGGCCCCGGGAGGGGAGGTGTGCGTCCGTCCAGCGTATGCACGCAGCGAGGCGAAGCGTCCCAGGCCCCGGGAGGGGAGGTGTGCGTCCGTCCAGCGTCCGCACGCAGCGAGGTGACGCAGCGAGGTGACGCATCCCCATTTCAACCAAAGTTCTGCTTGCCGTTGTGCAGAGGAACTTTAACCCGAGAGTCCAGTGTCCGACGGCCCACCGGGAACCCCGGTGCCACTCAAGGCTCACCCCGAGTTCTCAGAGAGGCAGATGCTGAGAGGGTCCTCGAAACAGCTTGTTTCAAACCTCTGCTTCCTCCTACAGACCGACCAAGGACCTGGCTCTCTGCACTGGAACTGTGCTGAGCCCACTCATTAATTCGGAAGAACCACCCTCCCCCTGGAGAGTGCAGCGTCCCCCGGGCTGCTCCCCGTGCGCTGAGTGCATTTCATTGCACACTGAGATGGAGGAAAATCAGCGCCCTCATCCCCTGGTCATTCGCGCTCAGGGTGTCAGACTCCCCTGCAGCCGCGCGGCATTTTGGGAGAGGCCTTCCAGTACCTTTTCCCTTTGAGGCCCACCGTCTGTCCATGCAGCCCTCCCGCGGCTGGCAGCTCCGAGGCTCAGCAGGCCCTGGAAGTGTTTCAAGGCCGCCCAGAGAGCCCTGCCTGGGTCTCTGACATTCTCGGGTCTCTGTCCTCTACTCCCCATTTTTTTATCCCTGCTAACTTTCTGCACGGAGATCCAGGCGGCTCACGAGCTACTTCGGCCTTGCACAGGAGCACCAAGCACTGCCCTGGCTCCTGTACGGGGAGACACGGGAGGAGGGCCAGCAGACACTCACACACAGCATCCTGTGTTAACCTCAGCCACACAGCGGCCGCGGGCACCACCTGGCCTCAGATGAGAAAACTGGGGGTAACACACGGAAGTCGTTTGTCCCAGAACACAGCTGGCTAAAGGTATGGCTAAAACCACAACGTGTCTTCTGATACCTAAGCCCACCAAGCTCCTCTCTCTCCTCAGAATCTATTATTAAACTTTAAATGAGTACTCTTGCTCACCCCAGAAAATACTTTTAGAGCAGCGTTTATTTTCGGAGTGTCACGGTGGTTGGCAGCAGAGAAACAGGCACTAAGATGCTTTTTCAAAGCACAAGTCACTGAACCTGAAGACAGCTGACCTCACAGGGACAGCCAGCTGAAGCGAATCCAGCTGACCTGACTTGGGTTTTGTAAAACAAACCGCTGTTTGCGTTCGAATGAAACGTAGATTTCACGGTTCAGTTTACTCACCACTGTTGCTCACATCCCGCTCCATCCCTTGTGTTCGCTCTTCTTCTCGCTGGAGCCCATCCTTTCACGGCTCTCCCAGACAGAATCTGCAGGAGGACGGTCTGTTAGTGCTCGTACAACACTTTCTTTATGTCGTCCTCACGCTCGGATGACAAGTCAGTGTTGCACGGAAGCTCAGGTCAGGGTTACGCCTCAGCATTTTGAGATACTCTCCTGTTACCTTCTTTGACGTAGGAGGATATGAGGGACTTTTTGTTAAAGTTTGTGGAAAACGGAGTTAGAAGACAAGCTGATTTCAGTGCAAAATTGTGAAAGTCAATGCACAGTTTCTTCAAAATATGCATTTCCAGGACCTTTTGGAAGGACCCTCATATGCACGGATTTCAAGCTTTCTGTGCACCAAAAATCACTATCTTTAAATTTCTACAAACTTTCTGAAGCATGTTGTATCACTAATTATTAAGCCCACAGTCAGCAGCTTAATTTCTGCTACTTCACAAGAAACATATAAAACAATTCCCAGTTAGATTCTCTCATTCTGTCCTGCCACACAAGGTACAGTTACACAATTCTCACCCTGAGCAAACAAACACAGCAAGAAAGCCAGCGCTCACTGGACACCCGGCCAGGGTCCTGGGCCACCCAGCTAAGCCATGCGGTCAAGGGCAGTGTGCACCACTGTTGCTTCAGTGGAAGTGCCACACTAGGCTCAGGAGGACACTGCCAGACACTGCACAGCACTGAGCTTCTCCCTTCTCGGGTCACCACTGGGCCGCCATCTGAGGACCCACGTCTTCCTTCAACTCTGAAAAGCCACAGGCTCTCGAGTCCTGCCTCACTGTTTATTGCCGGTACAGGAAAGTAACAGACTTTGTACATTAACCTCACATCCAGTGATTTTGTCATAATTGCCTATTAGTGCCCAAAGCTTTGACTTTCCTGATTCTTTCGGGTTTTCTGCATAGACAAACATGCAGTCTGTGAACAAAGCCAGTTTTCTTTCTTCCTTCTCAGCCCGTACACCTTAGATTTCCTTTTCTGGTCCTGCTGCATTAGCCAGGACCTGCAGGGCAAAGCTGCAGCACGGTGGGCAGGGCAGGGGGCACTCGGGCCCGCAGTGGAGACAGCCGCACCCCTCCTCAAGGGTCTGAGTCACGTCCTGGCTCCACTCCGGATCCCACTCGGGGAGGCAGCCGGCCGTGACTGAGACGGGGCTGTGTCCCCGCCTCCTGGCTACGACCTCATCCAGAGACACTGTGGCATCTGAGAGGTGAGCCGGCCGATGGGAGCGCTCTCCTGCGTGTGTGCTGTCTCTCTCCCTACTTCTCTCTCAAACAAATAACGTTGTTCAAAAAAAGAGCAAAAACCTCCAAACTGCTCTGGAGCCTTCTGCTCTGTCCACGCAGGCAGAGGGACCCCCTGAGCTCAGCCGGCCGTGAGGGGCAGAGTGCGCCTCCGAGGCGAGGCCGGAGCCGTGAGCCTGGGGCCAGGGTGGGTTTCAGGGCTGTCCTTTCTGTCCCCAGCTTCCTGAGGCCTGGTGCTGGGCTTTGTCAGCTGCTTCTCCTGCATCTGCTGAGATCACCACCATGATTTTATTATAAAACAGAACCCAGGCTTCGGCCTGGGAATTTGCCTGCTGCCTGAGAACCCGGGATGATCCGGAGGCCCCTGCCCCAGGCCAGTGGTGAGACGCCCTTTCCTGGGATCTTACGATGGCCTCTGGGACGACACTGAGACTCCCAGAGCACGGCCACTGCCTCCTGTCACCTGGGCGTCCACAGCTGGGCTGACTGCAGGGCCCTGGGCCCTCGCCCCGACCAAAGGCCCAGGAAGAGTCACCCCTCCTCACCTCCCTCGGGCTGTTCAAGCTCCAAACCGTTCCCCTTGCTTGGGGAGGCAAGACTGCACTGACGGGTGCCGGCTGTGGCACAGCAGGTTAACACCCTGGCCTGAAGCGCCAGCATCCCATATGGGCGTCAGTTCTAGTCCCAGCTCCCCCACTTCCGATTCAGCTCTCTGCTATGGCCTGGGAAAGCAGTGGAGGATGGCCCAAGTCCTTGGGCCCTGCACCCACATGGGAGACCTGGAAGAAACTCCTGGCTCCTGGCTTTGGATCGGCACAGCTCCGGCTGTTGCAGCCATCTGGGGAGTGAACCAGCGGATGGAAGACCGCTCTCTATCTCTACCTCTCTCTGCAACTCTTGCAAAAAAAAAAAAAAAAAAAGGCTGCACTGATGGAGAGAGAGTCCCTGCAGGAAAGTTGTGTGGCCCCCGGTGGGGGCCCCAGCTGAGGCCAGCGTCCTGGCCAATCCCACGATGTTTCCAGTAAAGTGAGTGAGTGGTGTGAGAGCCTCAAATGCCCAAGCTGGATTCCTCCCAGGGCAGTGGAGAACAGGCCAGCTAACAAGGCCGCTCCCAGTGCTGGCCAGGAGAGCCCTGGCGGGGGCTTATTTCTCTGTCGTAGTCCAGCTACTGAAAAGCGCTGAAGACCTGGAGCCCAAACGGGACGTTCGCGGACAAACTCGCACACGCTCCCTAACCTGAAGGTACAAAGTCATTCAAGAGCTAGTTCTCAAGTCACGAGGCTGCAGACGGCTGCAGATGACTGGGGGCAGCATCTGCTCCATGCTGGCCCCCCTGGCGTCTCCCTGCAGAGGTGGGGGTCGGGGACAGGGGTGCAGGGAGCACGGTGTGGCGGGAACACCAAGGCAGGGAGGTCTGGCTCCCGCAGGCTGAGTCTCGGGTTCTAAACCGACTCGCTGATGCTGCTGCGGCGACGCGCCGGGACTGTCCCCCAGCGCCGGGTCCCTCCCGCCTTGCAGGCGAGTCAGTCCACAGCCGGGCTCACAGAGGAATGCAGCTCTCAAAGAGAACTAACTCTCCTGCTGCTCCCTATGCAGCCCTCGCCTGCTTTCTCCCTGCTGACCATAAAGCACATCTTCCACTGTAAAATCACCCTTTGGAAATTTCGCTCCTATTCACTGTGACAGAGAAGACAAAAAGTTGTTGTGGTTTTATGCTGAGCCTCGGATGCTGGCCACACTCCGCAGCCCTGTGTTCTAACCGGCATTCAGCCTGCAGCGGCTGCGATCTCGCTGGCTCCCTGCGCAACACAAAGACGAACCGTGAACCAAGTCTTTCTGAGCAGTGCAAACATTTCCCAAGCCTACCCCAGTCCCCGCCTGGCAAGGCACAGCCTCCCCGTCACGCACCGGTGCCGTCCTCCGCCCTCTCCAGCCCCCGATTGTGCGGAGGTGACAAGTAACCGTCTCTTCTGGTCTTGGATCCAAGCGCATAATACGAGACCATATTGTACGTTTGGAACTGATGGTGCCATCTGCTTCCTGTTACCCAAATCACGAGGCTGTAACATGAAAGTCGCCGGTGGCGCCACTGAATCACTGCTTTTGGTGAGCACTGAAGTCGCTCTGAGGTTTTTCCCTCGGAGAAACAGGGTGTTTGGGGGGAAGGGCTGAGCACCGGAGGACTGAAAGTGCTCAGGACTCTGGGGGTATCTCACACCGTCCAAGTCCCTGACAGCGGTGCCACGAATCCATCTTCATGATTTCATCTTTGAAAGCAGGCATGGCTGGGGAGGCGGGGCTGCAGGAGCCGGGGGACGGGGCAGGGGGCGGCCGCCGGCACAGGGATCTGCCCCCACCTCTGCCCCTTCACCCACTGGAGGCTGAGAAGCGCCCGACCTCAGCTGTGGCTACAGCCAGTTTCACCACCAGGCGTCAATCACTCTGCTCTTTGAACAAAGTTATTATTGTCCAAGGCAGTAAGCAGTATACAGACTAAGGCCGCAGGCTGCACCTGGCCCACCGCCTCCTTTTGCAAATAAAGTTTTATTGGAGCACAGCCACGTTCATTCTGCACATAGTGTCTGTGCGTGTCTTCATGCTACAGAGGCAAACGCAGACTATAAAGCACACAAAGCTTAAAATATTTTTAGACTTTGAACACTTTGATTTACTTATTTCAGAAGCAGAGAGCCAGAGAGAGACCCTACCACCAATTTAATCCCCAAATACCCATGACAGCTGGGGGGGCGAGGGGGTGGCAAAGTCAGGTGCCAGGAACTCAACCCACGTCTCTCAGGTGGGGGGCAGGGACCCAGCAGCCTGAGCCATCACCGCTGCCTCCCAGGGATCAGGAGTCCTAGCCAGGGATGAGGCCAGTGCTCCTACATGGGCCTCCTAACTGGCGTCTTTACCGCCAGGCTGGAAGTCCCGCCAGAACACGGACTAACAGGAGCCGTTGGCTGCCCTGACCCAGGGCCCCGGCACTGTCCGTACGGGGCTCTGCCTTGCCGGCGACCCAGCCGTTCATCTATACACTGAGCACAGACAGACACAGAGCTGGTCTCACAGGTTCTCCCGAGGGTGAAATGAGAGGACCCGCGAGGAATGCCTCACGCAGGGCTGCCTGCCCCTCGGGAATCCCTCGTTCGTGTGGCTGGCACCGGAGGTCTTGTTTGGAGCCATCACGGGGAACTCTTCCCAAGAGCAGGCCTCAGCGTCTCCCATATTAGAAGCGTAAGTGGGGCCGGCGCCGCGGCTCACCAGGCTAATCCTCCACCTTGCGGCACCAGCACACCAGGTTCTCGTCCCCGTCGGGGCGCCGGATTCTGTCCCAGTTGCCCCTCTTCCAGGCCAGCTCTCTGCTGTGGCCCGGGAGTGCAGTGGAGGATGGCCCAAGTGCTTGGGCCCTGCACCCCATGGGAGACCAGGAGAAGCACCTGGCTCCTGCCATCGGATCAGCGCGGTGCGCCGGCTGCAGCGGCGGCCATTGGAGAGTGAACCAACGGCAAAGGAAGACCTTTCTCTCTGTCTCTCTCTCACTGTCCACCTCTGCCTGTCAAAAAAAAAAAAAAGAAGTGTAACTGGAGCTCCTGGGCCCCATTCTTGGCTCTGGCTCCTCACCCTAGGCTCCCACTAACGGCTGAACTAAGCTGGCTCCCGCTGCAGACATGGGAGACCTGCGTGGAGTTCCTGCCCCGCCCTCAGCTTCAGCCTCCCCACCCCTGTGGGCATTTACGGGGTGAACCAGCAAACAGGAGCTCTCCCTTGAGTTCATCTGCCCTCTCTCTCTTCCTCTCTCTCTCTCCTCCTCTCAAATAAATATTTTTAAAAATATATGCATAAAAAATAAACCTTAAGCTTTGAAACCCGCTCAGCCACTGCAGAAACTATGAACTGAGAGAAGAAGGATTTGAACTTGAGTCCAGTCGTACAGTACAGGTCAGTGCTGTGCTGCTGTAGCTAGTCGTACCTTTATCTTCTCTCTCTACCGTGGAAGGAGTGAGAGCTGCCATGAAGGGGGCCGCAGCAGTGAGCTTCTGCGTAAGCGTAGACGGAACGCCGCCCCTCGCTGTCTCCCAAGGTACAACTGGAGAAAAACAAGCGAAAAGTACAAACTCTGAAACCGAAGAGCACAGCAGAGGGGAGGAAGCATAAGAGAAGTGGCAGCAGACATGGGAACCAGAAGGCAGATGGTGAAGAGGTAACTGGCGATGGAAATCAGAAAGACAAATCCTGGAAACTGAGAGTGATAGAGAGCAAGCTGGCCCACACTGCACAAAGCAGACGGGGCAGGCAGAGGAGAGGGAGGCAGGCCTCAGCAGAGGGTGACGGGGGCAGGCAGAGGAGAGGGAGGCAGGCCTCAGCAGAGGGTGAGGTCTGCCCAGAAGCCTCCGTCAGGAGCTCTGGCAACGCGGTGCCCGAGGGACTCTGGGCTGGGTGTGAATCGGGCACAGGTGCAGGCAGGGGCTGGCAGGCCACACGGGCGCCCAAGTGCGGGTCTCCGTGTGAGAGCCCCCTCCTCCATGCCCAGCTGGCTGCTTGAAGGCTGCCAGTCTTCTGTGTGCTGGGAACTCACAGACTCAGGAAGCAGCCCTGACTCTGGGGTCCAGGGAGGACCTGCTCCACCCACGCACAGCCCTGCAGCTCTGCCTGCGGCAGCTCCCAGGGCTGCTGAAGGCCTCGCCCCTAAGCCAGGACCAACACTGAGGACCCAAAGACACTGAAACAACGCACCTGGCATGAGATGGAGACACCAAGACAAGCGGACCACAGGGAGAATGTGGTCGTAACAAAATTCCAAGGAACACAGAGAAGACGCCAAGGATGCCCCGATTAATGCATGTGGCAAGCTAACAGCCAGGTTTCCACCCACCAGGCTTCCCCATAACGCAGGAAGTAAAAGAACATGGAGTGAAGAAATGGATCTGAGGAAGTGTTGGGAGAAAAGGCCAATCTTTATAGGACAGAACCAACCCCCAAAGTTAGAAAAAATGGGAAAAACAAAACAAAATTAGAAGATTAGCCTAGAACGCCAACACCTGAATATAGATAACAACAGACGTCACCGCAAGGAAGAAAAACGGCTCCCAGAGAAGCCCATACCTGGACACGAGGCGGGCGCTCCCTGGACGCTGGAGACAGAGCCGGCAGCCTGCGGAGCGGCCAGGGCGGCAGCCGCGGCACAGGTCACACACACAGGACGGGGGACCCTCAGCAGCAGGGAGCTGGAAGAGAGGAAGACACGCTCTCAGCATGCGGTACCCAGAATTCTCCTCTCGGCCGCCGAGCTACCCATCAAAGGTGAGGTTAAAGGAAAGGTGTCCCAGCAACGTGAATTATAAATCACAGAAACAAACCAAACAGACACTCGCAGGGCCTCTTCCTTGGAGGACCGGACGGCTAAGGGCAACAGAAACGGGGGGACGGGCCGACGGGAGGGATTCTAGGAGGCAGGTGGGGGCTGCGGGAAAGATTTTAAACTTCTGTCATTTCCGCACAGAAAAACCACGCAAGACGCATTGTGCAAAGAGAAAAGAGCCGTTCAGAGTCTCCAAGGAGCCTGGTGCCACCTCCCCGACATCGCGTGGGGAAGGGCCACAGCAGCAGCGACGCCTGCACGCCACTGGCGGTGGGGCAGGGCCTGGAGAGCTGCAGGGCCCGTCGCTCCTGGACCCCCGAGAAGCCCGCTTCTCCTCTCCTTCCTGCCCCCAGCACCCAGGGTGAGGGCTGGCCCGTCACTCCCAGCCGCGGTCACCAGTCCTCCCCCGGGTCGCATGGGACTCGCTGCATTTGCACTGTCCGAGCAGCCGAAGCATCATCTATCACCCAAAGCAGACAAGCTCTGCAGGTGAGGGGCTGCCGTTGAGCTGGGTGAGGACTCGAGGGCTGGCCGCACTCCACAGGCTCGGTGGCCACGTGACCATGACAACCACTGGGTCTTCCTACTGAAGGTGAGCGCGTATTCCATGCTACCCAGTGTCCCCGCTCAGATGTCCCTCCAGTCATTTTGGTTTCTGAATTCCACTGCCAAGGTGGTTTTGCAGAGGCTCCAAAGGGCAGCTGGCCTGAGTTCCCACGGCCGTGGCAGCTCTGGTCACAGTCTGTATACGTGAAATTCAGGTGGGTGTGGATACACTGTGATTCATATTTCCTGTTTTAAATTAAGAGCATTTTATAACACCTGTACTGGGACATTCACATCCAATACAACTCACCCATTTAAAATATATAATTAACGGACATGGGTTAAGCTGCTGTCTGCAATGCCAACATCCCATGAGTCCCGGCTGCTCTACGTCCTATCCAGCTCCCTGCTAATGCACCTGGGAAAGCAGCAGAGGATGGCCCAAGTGCTTGGGCAGCTGCTGCACCCGTGTGAGAGACCAGGTGGAGTTCGGCTCCTGGCTTCAGTCTGGCCCAGCCCTGGTTTCTGCAGCCTTTTGGGGAGGGAACCAGTAGATGGAAGATCTCTCTGCCTCTCTCTCTCCTTCAGATAAAGACATCTTCATTATATATAGAGATAGATACAAACTATTCTTCAGTATATTCCAAAGGTCGTTCACTCACAATTCACCTGAGAGCACCTTCATTCCCCCCAAAAGAAAATGCCGGCCCCGCCGGCACCACCACCGATTTCCTCCCCAGCCCTGCAGCCCCAGGCGATCACTACCTTTCTTCCTGTCTTGATAAATGTACCAATTATGGGCATCTCACATAAAAGTGCTTATGTCCCAAGAGGTCTTTTGTAACTAATTTTCCTCACTTAACACAGAGTCTTCAAGGTTTAGCAGTGTTTTAGCACAGTATTGGTACTTCATTCCTTTTTATGGCCAAGTAACTGTCCAAGATATATTTTCAATAAAAGAAGATTAACATTTAAATGAAAATAACTCACCAAAAGTTACTTTTAATAGTTTCGCTGCCATGTTTCTTCACCAGCAATTTAACCGACAGGGTTATCACTCCAAGTACAACCGACTTCAAAACCTCTGTAGGAGAGGTACTCAGCTCCGTGCTGAGACGCCCCCTGCCCACACCACCGCACCTGGGTCTCTCCTGGCCCCTGCTTGTTGCTAACGTGCAGTGGGTCCCTGTCAACCACACAGGACACCTGGACTGCATTCCCAGCCCAGGACACTAGCTCTAGCTCATCCCTAGCCAACTGGGGTGTCTGGAGAGTGAACCAGCGGATAACCGCTGTCTGTCTGTGCATCTCCCAAATAAACACGGTTCACGGGATTTTCTCCCACCTATGAGAAGACAACACTCGCCATCAGTCACCTCGCCACGTGCCAGCTCTGTAACACCCGGGACCTCCCTGGTGCTCCAGAGAGAGCGAATGGAACCCGAAGCCGGGGGGCCACGAGGGGAGACCTTGCTGCAGCTCCTGGGGGGCAGGCATCCTGGAGATTCTCATCACTGGGCGCCGGCCACAGGTACTCACAGGGCACCCGCTCCCAAGCCCCCAGGGGATGGCTGAACCCAGACACACTCTGTGAAGGCTGCTTTTCTTATAAACATACACCTAAGATAAAGTTTACCTTGCACCACAGGCGCAGTAAGAGATAAACAACTTGAGGAACCATAGCGAAAATGAACAATTACGTGACTACGCCGTGCTGAGAGTTATGGAACAAGCTACAAAGCTGCCACCCTTCGCCTACAGGAAGCACCTGGCGGCTGGTCTTTGGCTTGGCCAAGTTACCAGCACCACGGCTCTCACATGCCGGGGCAACCGTTAAGTAAGACAAGGGCACGCCCAACACAACACTGCGTCACCACGACAGTCCCGGGGTAACTGAGGCGGCCACCAAGGGACTAATGGGGGAGCGTGAACAGCACGGACGCACTGAGCCCAGGGATCATCCGCATCTGGGCAGCATGGAGCAGGATGGTGAGAGGCTGCCTCACGCTGCTCAGAAGGGCACGCTTGTAAACATGGGAATTTTTTCTAGAATTTTCCAACTGAGGTTGACCACAGGTAACTGAAGCTGCTTCTCACCATGACCAATGTGCGTGATTTGGCTCTTGGGTCCTGGGATGCTTCTCTGGGCTTCGCATTGAAAATCACTGTAGCATGTCTAGATCTTTTTCATTTTGTTATATGAGTAGGAAAATCCACTCAAAATCAGATCCAGTAGTAACAGTGTGTGTACATGAGGAAAAGCATGGTACCTTGACTATTGCTGACGTAAAGGCCAGCGAGCTATAAAAAATAGTTTGGGGGCCAGTGCTGTGGCATAGCAGGTAAAGCTGCCACCTACAGTGCCAGCATCCCATATGGGCACCCGTTCAAGTCCCGGCTGCTTCACTTCTGATCCAGCTCTCTGCTATGGCCTGGGAAAGCAGTGGAAGATGGTCCACGTCCTTGGGCCCCTGCACCTGCGTGGGAAACCTGGAAGAGGATCTTGGCTCCTGGCTTTGGACTGGCCCAGCTCTGGCTGTTGCAGCCATTTGGGGAGTGAACCAGTAGATGAAATCTCTCTCTCTCTCTCTGCTTCTAACTCTGCCTTTCAAATAAACAAACCTTTTTTTAAAAAAAAAGACTAATCTGATAGTCTTTGTGTACAGTTGGTTCTATCAGGTCACCAGCAACGCTGAACTAAGGAAACACTGAGGCACTGGGGAAACGCACAGGATTAGGTCCTTGCTGGCCTCTGGTCACCCATGGGAGCTCCTGTTAACAGACGCCTTCTTTAACAAGCACTGGACCTCCCGGGCCTCTCTCTCTGCACAAGCCAGCGCCGCCCTGGAGCTGCCCACAGAGGCACGCGCAGCCTCCTGTGCCTCAGAACTGGAGACGGCAATGCAATTCAGCACTGGTGTGGTGGTGGTGGGGGGGGCATTTTGGACAACAGAATCTCTGACTGAACCCACAAAATGCAAAGTTGGGACTGAACACGCCGAGCACGGATCCCAGGGTCTGCAGAAAGGAGGGAGGGCGCCCCCTGTGTGGCCCCCCTGGGCCCACGAGCATCACAGCACAGCCCCTTTGCTGCTCTTGCCTGTGAACGACAGCAGAAGCAGGGAAGGGAAACAGACATGTGAGTAGGCGGACCAGCAGGTGCGACACCTGTCAATAACCCAGACTGAACGTGGCGAGATGGGAAAATGGGCCCACCCACGGCCAGATGTGTGTGGCACCGTGGGGCTCAGCAGTAAGCAGCTGGGATTCACAGGGAAGTCTGGTCGTGTCTGGGGACAGATGACTGGACAGAGATTTTAGAAGTAAGCTGGGTTGGGGCCAACATGGGGGTACAGCAGGTAAAGCCACGGTCTGTGACACCAGCATCCCATGTGGGCATCAGTTTGTGTCCCGGCCGTTCCACTTCCAATCCAGCGCCCTGTTACTGTGCCTGGGAAAGCAGCAGAGGATGTCTCAAGTGCTTGGGCCCTGCACCCACATGGGAGACCCAGATGAAGCTCCTGTCCTTGGCCTGGCCCAGCCCTGGCCACTTAGGCCATCTGGGGAGTGAACCAATGGATGGAAGATCTCTCTGTCTCTCCCTCTATGTAACTCTGGCTTTCTAGATAAATTTTAAAATTAATGTTTTTCTTAAAAAGCAGTTAGTTACTTTGAAATCTTGGATACAAAGTTTCTAAGCCTGACTCAACAAACACAGTATCTCCCTACAATGATGGCTCTAAGCACACCCCATTCCACAGGAAGGTGTGTCGGGAATCTTGCAACTTCCTGCTGGCTCCTTGGCTTAAGGATGTACGTGTCCCATCCTCATCCCCTGAACGTGCGGACCCACTTTTGAGTTGAACTCCCGGGGCAAAGAGTTTAAGGATTTATCTTGTTTTCAAAGGTCTACAACTCGTGGCAACGCTTCAGAGAGGAAGGGAAGAGCAGGAAGGAAAGGGACCGGTGACAAATACGGAGCAGGCAGAGGACGGGGAGGCAGTGAGGGAGAGAGAACAGGAAGCCAAGGAGGTTGCCACCTGGGGCGGGGACTCGCAATGGAGGAGGGACTGACACGGGCCCAGGTGCAGGAAGAGGACAGGGAGGATGGAGACAGGCCGGGTGGCTCAGGAGCCGGCGGTCTCAGCGGCGCGGTCAGAGCAGAAGCCAGTCTTCAAAAATCAAAGCACAACTGGAAGGGACCAGAAGGAGGGAGGGCGAGATGAGGTGTGGGGAGAGCTGATGAGCTCCCAAGGACAAAGCCAGGAGATGCGGAGCCGGTGACAGGCACCTCCCGAGGCGGGGGCACAGCAGGGTTCA